ATATGTACAATATACATACACATTTATTATATTTAATTAAAATTTATAATAAGTTAAATATAAATAAATATTTTTTTGAAATATAAATTATATGTAAATTTAGTATAAATATTTTAAAACATATAAATAATATTTTAGATTTATGATAAATTATTTATATTGTAGCACAAAATTATTTTTTTATTAGTAACTTATTTAAAATATTTATATTTTATTCAAAAATAATTATGAGAAATAATAACTAAATTAGATAAGAAGTTAAAAAAAATTCTACAAATCAAGAAAAGCCTCTTAAAAACACTCTTGCATATGATATAAAATTATGTTTAATATATAAGGTTGGTTATTAATGATTTATTTAAAATATTAATATTTTATTAAAAATAATTATAATAGATAATAACCAAATTAAATAAAAAAATTTAAATTTTCTTTTACAAATTCTCTCATTGAAAAAAAAGGTCTTATAAACACTCTAGTATAAGATAGATATTCGTATTTAATATGTATGAGTTGATTATTGATAACTTATTTAAAATATTAATATTTTATCAAAAAATAACTATGATAAATAGTGATCAAATTAGATTAAAAAAATAAAAAAACAAATCTTACAAATTTTTTGGCTAAAAAAATTTCTAAAAATATTCTATAAAATAAAAATTCACATTTATAATAGAAATTAGTTGAAGAATTGATTACATTTATAAAAGTGTTAAATATTCTACTCTAGAAACTATTTATATTGTGTGTGGTTATTTTTCTCAAAGTCCATAGTCCCTTCCAATTCAGTGTTATGTATGAATAGAAGAAAATGAAGTGCCACTAAAAATAAAACCAATCCTCATAACTCAGCATCATTGAATGTTGAAACCATGACCAAGGACACGCGTTCCATGCCATGAATACCGTATATTAATTTTTTGACATTCATACCATAAAGTCCTCTTCATTTGATCAAGAATGCAAGATTCGTACGGAAGGGTTATTCTAGCCTCATTCAATTCTTTTTTTTTTCCTCTTCAAAATACTAGTTAATGACATATGTTTTATTTAGTACGATTACTTTTACTATAAAAATGTTAGTTGAAAACTCTCTCGAATAATTGTTTAAAAAAACTTACAAATACATAAAAATATTTCCTAAAAGAATTGCATATACTTTATTATATACAATACGTTTTATATATAAATATATATAATTACCAATCTCCAAATAAATTTAGACGACACATGTTAAATTATTTCGACTCATCCTTTGGACTCTAGGTGTAATATTCTACTTTATTTTAAGATTTTATGAGGCAAATGTAAATGATATTTTGTCTGGTATGTGTTTTGTGACTACTCACATTCCATTATTGTTTCATGTTACACTTTGCTATTATTTTGTTCTGTTGTGTCACCCTTTGCCACATGATATGTGGTGTTGTTGTTGTAGCTTCCTCCTAGTTACGGATTAGTGATACAAAATCTTGGATATTTTGTTTAGGTAAATTGGACCCAGGTGAGAGAAGGGGCATAGTAAGATTCTGTGTATAGATTAATAGATTAATGAAAATGTTAGTATTAAAAGTACATGTGGATCACGGGTGATAGTGGTACAAGTAGTAAAATAAGTCCATCTATCACATCCCCTCACAAAAAAAGCGGGTCAACCCATCTACCTTAATAAGCTGGCTTGAAAATTTCAACTCAACTAATTTATTCATGGGTTAATAAGTTAACTCACTTAATAATTAAATATATTTTATTTTTTATATGTAATATTTTATTCAAAATTAACTTCATTTTTTAATAATAATTTATTTATACAAATAAAAAAAATCATAAAAATAATTAACAGAAGTATTTACACATATATAATTATATATATTATAATACAAACATAAATTTAAATGGATCAAAATTAACATTATTATTTATTTAAATCTTATAATAAAGTGATATCAATAAAAAAGAAACATTTAAAAAAACGTGTTGATTAATTGATCTACTGTACTGTAACTCTCCTTTAACTTTTTTTAATGCATTAAAATGGAGTGGGTTTCAAACCTACCAACCCGGCCCACAAAAAAAATAATAAAATATGTTAGTTCTTTACATCTAACTCTATTTGTCATTTTTGAATAATTGTCTAGCCTGAAATTCATCAATATTTTTTCCTTCTCTCTTGTACATGTACATTTTACACTTTTTTGTTATTTTAAAAAAATTCTTTCTCAATTATTTTAAACTACCATTCATATCATTATTTAAATATTCATTTTCTTAATTATATCAATTCTTATAAATTAAATATGAATTTCTATATTATGCAAGAGTATTTTTAGGGAATTTTTCTTCAACCAGAGAATTTGTATGAATTTTTTAACTTCTTATTTTATTTGATTTTTATTTATCATAATTATTTATTAATTAAATATTAATATTTTAAATAAAATACTAATAAATAAAAAATATTTTTTATAATACAAATTATTTATCATAAATCTAAAATATAATTTATTCATTTTAAAATGTTTGTGTATATTTTTTTAAATATAATTTAGATATTCAAATAAAATATTTTATGTATATTTTATTATAAAATTTAAGTACATTATATAAAATACTGGTCATTTTCTATTTGTCATCTTTTATCTCTAATTTTAAATTAAGCTTCAAAACATTATAAACTTATATCATAATTTAAATAAGGTTAAATTATACTTTTGGTCCTTTATCTTTTTTATTAGATTTATTTTAATCATTTATCTTTTAAAATGTTCATTATGATCCTTTAACTCTAAAATTTAGACCAATTTAGTCCTTTTAAAATAATAATTATTTTAAATTTAGAGACATGATTTTTTGTTTTTTTTTATCGATTCAAAATTTAAAATCTGTCTCATTAAATTCATTTATGTAAAAATTATTAAACGCAACTAAATACATAAACATTACAAACATGAAAAAAATTACATAAAAATAAAATCAAAAAATAATTGAAAATTAAAAAAAAAATATAATTTCATATTATATTCTAATTATTTATGAGACATATATTTCATACGATTTTTATTATATTATATTTATTATGAATTCAAACATTAATTAAATTTTATAATTTTTATATAATTCAATATATTATTATAATTTTCATGTCTCAAATCAATTATTTAGAATTGTGTCATAAAATTAAAAAAAAAATTAAAAGGACTAATTTAGTCCAAATTTAAGAGATAAATGATCATAATGAACATTTTTAAAAATAAAGGACCAAAATAAATTTAACAAATAAGATAAAGCCTTTAAATTATCATTATAAATTCAAAAACTAATTTTTATATTTAAAAATTTATCCATTATAAATTTTAATTATAAAATAATTTATATATTCAAAATATCTAGCAATATAAGTTTTAATTATGTAAAAGTAAATATTTATCCTATTGATTATACATCAAATTATGTATATTAAACAATAAACAGTAGCTCTTTTTTTTTAAATGAGAAAAACGTTATTTTGGAAGTTCTCTTTAATGAGAGAGGTTTTAAATTTTTTTTCTAACATCTTATCTATTTCAAAATTTATTTATTATACTTATTTATAAATTATTTTTAATAATTTTAAAATAAATAAACTCTTATATATTGAACATAGTTATGTATATTTTTAAAGACTTCTCTCTAAGAATAGGGTTTATAGATATTTTTTTAACTTTTAATCTTTTCAAATTTTATTTATTATATTTATTTATAAATTAAATTTTATAATTTTAAAATAAATTATCAATAAAATTCTTTTGTGTGAAATATAAATTATGTAACATAAATATAAAATATAATTATATGTTAAAAACAAATGTCTATATTGTACAAGAGTATTTTCAAGAGTTTTTCTTCAACAAAAATATTTTAGATTTTTTTTTATCAATTCCTACATATTATACATGAATTTTTTCTTGCATGCTTTTAGAAACTTATCTTTCAAATTTTATTTATAATATTTATTTATAAATTAAATTTTAATAATTTTAAAATAAATAAACCCTTATATATTAAACATAACTATCTTGTGTAAGAATATACATTTTTAAGGACTTCTCTCTAATGAAAGGATTTTTAGAGATTTATAAATTATCAATAATTAAAAACAATTTTGTAGCAACATATAAATTATATAACATAAATATAAAACTTAATTTATATATTTGTCATGTGTCAAAAATTTATAATTACATTCATATATATTAAATAAAACCATTATTTTATGTGAGAGTATTTTTGAAAAAAAATTTCCAACTAAATTATTTTTAGAAATTTCTTTAACTTCTTATTTAATTCAATTTTTATATATTATATTTATTTTTAAATAAATGTTAATATTTCTAAAATATTCAGATGTAAAAATAATATTATCATGATATAAAATATTTATCATAAATTTAAAATATATTTTATGTGTTTAAAAATATCTATTATATAAAGTTTAAATATAATTTATATACCTAAATATAATATCTATATATAATTAATTATAAATTTTAATCATATAATAAATATTTAGTATGCAAATTACAGGAATTAAAATACTAATAAATAAATAAATCTTTTGGGATGTCTGTTAGAGAAAATCTTTTAAAATATCATTATTGGATTTGGATTACCTGTCAGTTCATAAGTAACTGCACTCTCATGTAGTTTAAAATCTATTGGTGCAGAAGTTTTTTAACTCATAATTTGCTTTATAATCTAATGTAAAGGATTTTTTTTATATCAAGTTTCTCTCTTCTTCTTTTTTTTTTTTATCAACTAACGTAAAAGATTTGTTTTTAATAGTTGGATTTATTTCAACTGCTGATCCATCATTATAACTACTTAATAGAGCCTAGAAGGTTACGGAAGTTGAAGAATCAATTGTCTTTGCAATCCCTAAATCAAAATTTTTTTTTGGAAAAATTGATATAAATATAAGTTGACATGTGGGGTTCCCTTGCATTCGGGCTAGTTGTAACTAACAGTCTTTTTCTCCAAAATTGCGTTGAAGGACAAGTCCTATGTGATTAAATAAAGTTTGATAACATTTAGATTAATGTTTAGATTTCAGGGGTGTTCTGTTCACTGATTTTCTGTCTTTGTATTTGGGTCCAACCAAAAGAAAGAGAGAGAAACAAAAAGAAAACAGAATCATATTCGATTTCACAAGTAGCTGGAAACATACACCACTGACCCGTAACATAATAATAAACCCCTTTCTTTCTCTCTCAATATATCAAGCCAAAGACGTTATAGGACCAAGATCTTCTTCATAGGTGCATGAGGTAAAGTAATTGATTTAAAAGTTTCTTCTTTTTTGTCCTTAAATTTTGTTTGTATTAGATTTTGAATGTTCTTATTGAATCAAGGAGTGATTGAATTGGCTTTTTGGCAACGAATAGTAATGGCATCGATGGAGAGGATTCTGTTGGCCCTGGAAACTCAGGGTGCAGGAGGAGAATCTGTATTGGGGTCCATAAAAATTGCTGTGATGCCCATAGTTAAAGTGTTCACCATGTGTGCCTTGGGACTTCTCATGGCTTCAAAGTATGTTGCCATCTTGCCTGCTTCTGGAAGGAAGCTTTTGAATGGGGTATGTATGTGTGATGTATGTTGCGTGTGCCATCAAATTCTCACTCACTCACACACTTTGTTGGTTCTTGCAGCTGGTGTTTACACTCTTGCTACCTTGCTTGATATTCTCCCAATTGGGGCAAGCTGTTACTTTGGAAAAGATGCTTGATTGGTAAGCTGTGGTTGATAACAACTGACTAGTATTCAAATTTGCTTCACTTTTGTTTCCCGTTTTGTTGTTTCATGTCCACACTCACAAAAGCATTGATGTTTGATTATATGTAGGTGGTTTATTCCCGTGAATGTTGTTTTGAGTTCCATAGCAGGGTCACTCATTGGTTTTGTTGTTGCAACCATCATCCGCCCTCCTTACCCTTTCTTCAAGTTTACAATTATACAAATTGGAATAGGTAAGCCGGTCATCCCTGTTTTACTTTCTTTATATTTGGAACCTTATGGACTTGGACAAGACCCCTTCATGTTAAGTGAAGGAATTGATTGAATCCATGTGTTGGTTTTGCTTTGTCTTGAGTCCTATCATTGCAAATTGTTGTACAGGAAATATTGGGAATGTTCCACTTGTTTTGATTTCTGCTTTATGTCGAGACCAATCGAATCCCTTTGGAGAGTATGAAAAATGTAGCACAGATGGAACTGCCTATATATCATTCGGCCAGTGGGTAGGTTCTTGATATCTTGCTGACTACTGCATCTTTTCCTAGTTGTTGATATTTTGTTCATTCACTTAAAATTCATTCATTTCCTAAGCAATTTTCAATATACAAGGTCTTTATTAGAATTTAGACTAGTTCATATGTTTAATATTGTTCTAGATACTGTACATTGAAACAAAAACCTAGTACTAAATGGGAGTTATTAATTCTCATGTCTTAGGTCGGTGCTATCATCCTATATACATATGTATTTCATATGTTGGCACCTCCTCCAGAAGCCACATTTGATATCGATAATGAATGTGTTCCCTTGAAGAGTACTTCAATGAGTGATGCTTCACCTGAACAAGCTCCATTGCTTGCTAGCGAGGAGGGGGTAATTTCTACAGCTCCAAATACAACAAAGAAATGGAAGGTGAGAGTGACTTGATACATGGATGTTATGTTTTTTTTCTATTCTTATTTTCACTTTTCATTTGTTGAACTACAAGATGAAATTGAACAGATAGTTCATTTTTTTGTGGGGGTAGGGGGCATAGATTCAGTGTTTCCAAGGTGACAACCATGTACATACTGGTGATATGATTTTCTCGAGTATATTTAGCTATAATATAAATCAGCTTTCGCCCCCTCTTTTCTGCTCGTGTTGAGTAGATGACACTTGGTTACTGTGATATTAAATGATGGAAATTCGTACCGATCTGTAGTGTCCATTTTCATGAATGTTTTCTGTAAAAATGAGAGTTTATACAGCCTCATGTTATTATTTTCTTAATTATGTTCTCTAAATTGTCTGGACATGCAATTTGATTTAAAATTTTCTTTCTTATGTCCTTCAGGTTCAACTTCTAAAATCTCTCTATTTGGCCTCTGAATTATTGTGATGATTTAATTTTTATATTTATGCACTCAAATTCTTAGTGAGTGCCTGTTTAGTTATTATCTCCTTTATATCTCATTCTTCCCTGCACACGAGGTTAACACATGTTTGTTTTGTTAGTGCAGATTAAAGATTTCTTTGCATTCCTATATGAGAAGTTGAAGCTTAAGCAAATTCTTCAACCCCCTATTATTGCATCAGTAAGCCTTTCCTTATTGAACCTATAATTAGTATTTAGTTTTTTTCTTTTTTTTTTACATTTTATATGCTGGATTCTCCTCATCTCTATCCTTTTTGAGTCAGTGTGTTTGGAGGCTATTATGTCCTACTTGTTCTAATAGGGTTAAAATTTATCCAATAGATTAATTAGAGAAACATATTTTGCACACTAAAATTCTGGATTTCCTGTTAGGATTTCATTAGCGTCCAACTTTAGAACCAGAGCAACCTGGTCAAGAATAGTTCTGTTCTAGAGGATAGTGGTTCTGAACTTTCTTTTTCCATTTATGCTTACCTTTTCCTTTTCCACATTTGACTTCTCTGTATCAGCAGTATTAATGCCGTGTCTTCTTGATAGTTAAAAACCAGTCGGAAATGAATGTGTTGGTCTACCTACTTTCATAATAATCTTATACCCAGAGCAAATACTTTACATATACATTTATTAAATAGATAGTGTCATGTTGATATATTAATGGAATTGAGTTTGATTGAAGTATTGCATATGCTTTGCAGATCCTTGCCATGGGACTTGGGTCCGTCCCATTTCTCAAGAAACAAATCTTTACACCTGATGCTCCACTGTTCTTCTTCACTGACAGCTGCATGATTCTTGGGTATGCCCATTTAATTAATGAATATGTCCATGTAGAGTATTCTTTGAAATTTAGTTTATTTTCCAAGTATTCATTAGTATATTGAAAAGCATACCAACTTTTAGCATATAGCAAATTTGTTTTCTTTTTCGCCATGGATAGTATATTTAAAGGATAATCAATCACATATTGGCAATTTCTGTCATATTGACGGTTTAAGTTCTTGTTTAAACAAATATATAGATTATATAGGCAGTTGAATCATTGAGAGATCGGAGCAACAACATAGTAAAACATCTACTATCCAAAATAACTAAGATTAGACCCATAGTGACTCATGTTTCACCTAATTATTCTCTTAACTAGTGGCATCAAATTTTGGTTTATAACTATATAAACTTTAAGCTTTTTGATGTCCATATTTTATTTCTGCTCATCTATTAGTATGGAAGAGGATATTTTATCCTCCTCTCTTCTTCTCTTCCTTTTTGGTCTGAAACAAAATATTTAGAATAATAAATGTTTTCAGGGATACATTGCAATCTTGGCTATAAGGCAACAATCCAATAAACTTCAAAAATGCGTTATGGAACTAAGCCATTTTTTAGTTCTATAAAACTGATAATAAACTATTATTTCTCTGTCAGAAGTTGTTTAGGGATCCTTACAATGTTATGATAGTGGATACATTCTAATAGTTCCTTTGGTGATCAGGGAGGCCATGATTCCTTGCATTCTGTTGGCACTGGGAGGCAACCTTATTGATGGTAAATTTATGTCATAATGTTCTCATTTTATTTAATCAATGTCAGTTGTCATGTTTGTAAGAGTCAAATGATCTTTATCTTGGTTGTAGGACCTGGAAGTTCAAAACTCGGTTTTCGGACAACTGCTGCTATTATTTTTGCACGGCTACTTTTAGTGCCACCTGTTGGACTTGGTATCGTCACGTTGGCTGACAAGCTTGGTTTTCTTCCCCCTGATGATAAGATGTTTCGATTCGTCTTGCTCCTTCAGCATTCAATGCCAACATCTATCCTTGCAGGTATAGCACACACATGTATCCTACTTCTTACTGCTAGAAACACTTCTAAACATTTTCTAGAAGTAAAGACTTTGTTATACCACACACATAACTAGCACAACAAGGTTCTTCTTGGGTTGGCAAAGTGGGTGGAAAGGTGGGAAGTAGTTGCTGCTTTGGCTTTTTATTCTCAAGTTGCTCTAAGGATTTTTCTCATTTGTAAATAAGACCATTGTTATATAGGTTTTGTTTGAGTAAACTTTTTTAAGAGCACTTCTAGGAAAAAAATGAAATAATTTTTTTAGAAGCTAACAGTTTATGCAAAAACTAATTTGTAAAAGATTTCTCCTATTAACTTTTTCAGAATCTTATTTTTTAACTTTTTTATAAATAAGTTTTAGCATATAGAAAAACATATTTCTACTATTTTTTTCTTATAAATACTTTTGAAAAAAGTTTATTCATATAGGTCCATAGTAGTTAAAAAATCACAAAAAATGTTAAGTTGGACTTTGTATGGACGATTATTTTTGTGTTGATTTTTTACACAATTTTTTTACTTGCTCACAGGTGCTGTTGCTAATTTAAGAGGCTGTGGAAGGGATGCAGCAGCTGTACTATTCTGGGTCCATATCTTTGCTATATTCTCAATGGCAGGATGGATTATTCTTTATCTAAACATACTCTTCTGAGACTGTAATTTAATCCAATTCATTTTGTTCATTTGATGTTAGATTAGAGGAAAAATATCAATAGTTTATATAATGTGCCTTTATATAATGATCACGGTTCACGAACAAATTGTCTGATGTCTTTTTTTTTTTTTTTTTAACAAGGAGATATAAGTATAACTTTTTCCCACTAAGTGAGGTTCTATATAAATAAAGTGATATCTTAATTATGTACAAACCAGAATAAAAGTCAGGCCAAAGTGTATGATGTTTATTCATTGATGTTTGTTCATTAGTTGAGGACGTAGTATAGAAAAGCTGAAAAACAAGACCCTTCTTCATAGTTTAATTATTTATTTTAAACCTTAGTTTATTTACTATTCCAAATTGGTGTGTATTTGGAGAACCCATTCCCCACTAGAATATTCTCAATTATTAAGATGGACGAAAGGAATATCAATAACTGTATTCACATGCCACGCTTGTTTAGGTCCACATCATTGTCGTCAATGTGATTCCCAGTAGTTGAAAACACAAACAGACAACCATTGCTTTTGCGTCAAAAGATGCTACTTTCAATTCTATATATTCAATTTTAACATTTTAAAAAATAATAAATATCTTATTTCTATAACTTTTTCTAAAACTAATCTCATAATCTTCCTGTTTTATAATAAGTATTGTTTTAGATTATTTTAAATAGATAAAAAGAAAGTTAATAAATAGATAAAAATAATAATTTTATAAAATTAATTTTCTTTGTTAGAAATTGTACCGGAGAGACCGTATCGGTCACGTGGGCCA